ATGATTTCAGCAAGATCTGAGACATGCCCTCAAGGTTTGCTGGGATCTGGGATTAGGGAGTTGATAAGAACCTCAACTGCCCATGGACATGTTTTTCTTCTGCAGTTAAACACAAATGCAGAGAGACGTTTGACTGCTGCTTGGCGTTACTGCTCAAGTTATATAAAAGCTTTGCAGCTCCTTTTGCTGTCAATATATCAAAGTTGAAAAAAATCATCAAAGTGTGAAATTTCATTTAAAGTCTTTGCCAGTCTACAGCTCTATTTCACAGACCTATCAAATAAAAGTAAAGATGAGGAAAATACACAGAGAGAACTTGAAAAAAGTTTTACAGTGTGTTCCCATTTTTGTTGTTTATCTCTTTTTTATTTGTGCGTGTGTGAGAGAGAGAGAGAGAACCAGAACAAATCCATTACTATGTAGAGAGGCAACAGAACAGGGAGGGTAAAGGAAGAAGGCTGAAGGTAGCTGTTTTAAAAACACTTGCACTGAAAGTATTCTTGAAATCATTATTAGAGCTGAGCCTTTTGTAAAAACAACTCGACAAGATTCCCAGGGTGATTTTAGCATTTTCATTCCTTACTGCAGCTGATCAAACAAAATATGGCTTGTGTTCATCAAAACAAATCAAATAAACTGCAGAATATGAGGGCCAGTCATAGGAAAGCCTTCTTCAAAGTATATCCTTAGATCAGAGGATTTACTAGAGCTGCATAGAGTAGACAACTCTGACTTTTGAGATAATCGACTATAGTCTAAAAGCATTAACATTCCATTACTAAGGTCTTCCTGAGGATTTCATGACTCATTGATTCAGTCTTGCTTCAAGTCTCCTTCTTCTTAGTACATTACTGTCTCCTCATGCTGGAGTGCATGCAACAATGGCCATTAAACTGTTTCCTTTCATAATTCTCCAGCCTCCCCCTTACTAGAACGGATCCCCATGTTTAATAAGCATCAGATGATTTACTCAGAGGGGAAATGTAGAAAAGTTTTCTGAAATGTCTTCAAACATCAAATAAACACTTTTGAGAGTGCAGAATAAGCCTGTGATGTGTGCAAGTAATTACAAGTGATTTCAAGAAAGAATTGTAAAATAACATTACTCTTAAAAGGAACATGAACAGATAAGTGGTAAGTAAACCAAAAAAAGTTATCCTTACTCCACTGGAATAATTTGGAAATCAGCCAAAATACTTTAAACTTTTCAGCATTTGAAGCAAGTGTTGCAACTGATTTGCTAGCAACAGAAGTCAAGTTTGATCAAACATCTTGCAGAGAGAAAATGCTCTTTATACAAACATCTAAAATTGAAATTACTTAAGAAAATAATACAAGGTGGTTAGAACATAACCATGAATCACTTTCATTTCAGAAGATGTGACTTTTCTACAGAGTTCTACTTGGTGGCTATTATACAAGTTCTGCATAATTTTTGTTGAGATGGTGCATGCAGTATCTTCTTTGGTTTCGTATTTCTTAGAGTTTGCTGCAGCAAACAATGCCATGCTGATGAGCATGTGCAGTGATGTGACTTCAATTATGCACATGCAAACGCACCCTGAATAAAGTGCTACTTACTAGCTTTAATTTTCTTTCTTTTAAAAATTACATCTGTTAACCCATTGTCTTTGTTTAATTCAGCAGATTCCCATCATTCTGATCTTAAACATAATTATTTCAAAGAAAATTATATTTCACTAATTTCATTGGAACTTATTTTCTGGTTAGTGTGTCTCAGAAACACGGTCCAGTTATCTTATAAGCTATAATCTTCACACACACTTTTTCCATCTATAGTAAGTCCCACTGATCTCAGTAGGACTTACTTTTGAGCAAACATGAACAGAATGGAAGCTGTAATATTTGACAAAAAGTAGCAGCCTCCTTACAGTTAATTAAAGATTATACATGTTTATTTTAAATTAGGCTGCAAGAACCAACCAAAAGTCATTTAACAGTATGCTGCAAGCAATTTCTCATAGGTAATTTAAAAAATTTCTTTATGTAGTTTACATTAAGCTAATCATGGTTAGTTTTTATAGGCAACCTCGACTCAGCTCAAGTAAAGTGTTAAGTATTTCACAAATCTTCAGAATTCTTTACATTTTATACATTGCAGTCTTCTCTCAAAATAAACTTTGAGATATGCAACTAATAAACTGTCAGATCCCAATTAATGTTTAATAAAGAGCCTAAAGGAAACAATTATAGGTATCAATCACCAAGGCACCTTTTCAAATTAAGAATGTAACCACATAAATATTCCAAACAGCTAAAGGGTACTTATAGTGGATTTCAGCCTGTAACTGGGCAGTCCTTTCTCTCCTTTCTACTCTAAGCCCTTAAAAAAGGAGGGGAAAAGCAAAGCTTGGTTCTTCCTTGAGAGTTCAGTGGATCCAAATAGGTTCTTCTGTTGGTGCTTTGCCATAATGTGGATACTTAAAAAAAAGAAGCAGCAGCAAGAGAGACAAGTCTAAAAAATGTGTTCTAAAAAAAATTGGTAATTTAATGAACCATATATTTTAAAAGATGTGGGAACAGCTCCATTTTCTGTGACCCATGGAAATGAAATTCAAATAGCAGGCGCAAAGATCAGAATGAATCAGGCCTGATTTTTTTTCTTTTTTGTTCAAGTTTAGTGACCACAGAAAAAGAAGTGGGTTATCATGGTATGGCATAATAACCCTTGCTGAACTGATTAATAGGTCATTTACATATTGACTTGCAAAAAGTGGTGAGCCACCTATATCTTGGGTTTGAAAAAAGGTTCCGTTAGGCTAGGTTGTGAACGGCCCATCATTTCAAACTGAAGTGGCAGCTGGAAAATGTGGAACAGCTGGCAAAGAGCAGGGATAAAATGTTTTACATAAATATCTCTACATATAAACTGGCAGAAGGCCACAAACACCAGACCCAAAGGATGGGATCAACACGATACACCAGAGGATTCAAATAATTGGGGGCAAGAGGGGTAGCTTTTTACCTTTATTCCACGTGGTGTTTGCAGCAGACAATACCCAATTGGCAGCCTCTCAGTTAGAAAAGCTGCAACTGTGAACAACCCAAACTCACCAAGGGCTACACTAACACAAAAAAACAAATACTTTCCTGGAGCCTTTTAAGGTTCTTTTGATGTGCGTATTTGTCCAAGAGTCTAATCCAAATTGCTTTGTCTGCAACTATTTACTCTGCCTCTCACTCTCTTTCCAAGTTTGAGAAAGTTAACTGTTGGGTGCGATTCATACAGCTTTCCAGTCATGCAGTCCTCACCATCCAGAGAATGCAGTTTGGAAGAGGGAGCCAAACACCAAGGGAAATCTGAACAGAAAAACACTCCTATTCAAGGAACTTTTGATTTGCAGCTTGCCAAAATATAAACCTCTCAGCTAACAACAGAAATACATCTGATGAAGTGGGCTCCTGCCCACAAAAGTTCATGTCAAAATCAACTAACCAACAACCTTGAGGCTGCCACAGGAATTTTCCCTCATTTTGCAAATGGCTAGTGGCATTAAAGTTTTTACAGTTAAATAAAGTTAAAGACAAAACTTCCAGTGTTTTGACCTAGGAACTTTGCCCTCATCTTCTTTTACCCCATCTCCCTTCCTCAATAGCTTTCAAGAAAATGAATCAAACTCAAAAGAAAAGAGACAGATTGAAAATGCATCCTTCCTTCTACTACAAATAATAGCAAAAGGTTGTATACAGTATCACATCCGATCACTTGCTTCCACCCTTCCAGATGTGGCAAACTTCCAGCCACCACAGAAACTGCTGGCAAGAAAATAAGTGCTATCCCCCCCCCACCCCGGACTTGGAAGAGGCCAAGCAGCTGCTGCAAGCCTGCAAAATTTGCAGTTCAACTGAACTGTGGGACGTTAAGCCTCCAAATCCTCTCTGACTGTAGCTGAGCAGACATTGCAAGTTGAGAGAAATAGCTGAACTAGGTGGTTAAATGTCCCGCACTTTTTTGCATTCTGCAACTAGATCCGACCCAATATGTTTACTCAGGAGCAAGTTCCATCGAGTTCGAGGGCATGGGACTGACTCCCCAGTAAGTGCAGGTAGGATCGCAGTCAAGGATTTCACTTCCAGAAGCGCTGCAAGCCACCTGAGGTCCTTAATTCTTCACCCTCTTGGCCTCCCCATCCTCTAAGAGATCAAGCACAGAGCAGACGCTCTCGTCCCTCCCTCCTGCAAAAACAAAAACAAAATCCACTCTGGCTCCTTTGCAAGCCCGGCGTGTTGCAAGTTAAACAAAGAACTTTTCTCTCTCACGCACACAGACACCCCCCAACGGACTACGTACCTCCTACTGCAGCCGGGACTTCTGCTGGGGTCCGAAGGCGCCCCAAACTTCCCATAGGAAAGGACCGGGGCCCCCACCCGTACGCCCGTGGCTGCACACAATGCGATCGCTGGCTCCTCAGCGGCCAACTCTTAACAGCACCGATCCCGGAGGATGAATGAAGGCATTTTGCTTCTGTTTTGGAGGGGGAGCGAGAGGGGAGGGCGCGATGGCAGAGGGAGGGGGAGGAGCAGGAGGGCTCGGGATGTGTATGTGTACGGGGGGGGGGGGGGTATCTTGTTTTATATTTCTGCCTTCCTTACATACAGAGAGCTCGCCCGCTCGTTCGCCCGCCCGCCCTCTCGGTTTGCGCGCGCGCGTGTCTGTCGATTCCTCTTTTCTCCACCAAGATCTTACATCAGTTCCAGGGATCCTGTAACCCGATCCCTTCTGACTCACTTAGCCCTGAGTGACATTTCTCTGATTCGGTTCAACAACAACTAGAAGAGAGCAAGGAAGGAAGGAATCGAGCAGTCTGATTTTGCAAATCAAAACTTGCACGCAAGAAAAAGGTTCGACCACAATCATTTCCTCCTCCTGGACCCTCAAAACGGCCGGGTCTGCGTTTGGTTTGCTTTTTCTTTTCTCCTTTTTCTCTCCCTTCTGGCTCCCTTTCAATCCATAGACAACATTCCACGCTCCTACTCACGTGTTCGAAAAGTTGCCCGTTCCGCTGCTTTCTCGGCCGCCTCCGCCTCCTCCCGTCCAAGTTTTACAGATGTTGCAGGGTTGTCCTGCTCCTCCGCCACCCTCTTTGCCTTTCTTCCTCCTCCTCCTCCTCGTCCTTTCTGTGCTTAGGGGTGGGGAGAAGATCTACCAGGCAGGAGCGAGCGAGCGAGCGCGCGCGATTTTGCTGGAGACCCCAGCGCGGTGCTCTCCCAACTTTATTCTCTGCGTGCCTCTCCACGTGGGGGGGGGGGCGCGGAGGCGAGGAAAAGGAATTTCTCCCCCCTGATACTTTTCTCGATCCTCTGCCTTGCTGCACGACTTGCAAGGAGCCCCCCACGCTCTCATTCGCTCGCATCTAAAAGCAAAAAAGGAAAGGAAAAGGCGGGAGGGTGGCTGCGAGCGGAATGGCGGGAATCCGAAAGTGACGAAGTGATGCACCCCCACCGCCGAGGGTTCTCACCCTGGGCATGGGAAGAGGGAGACGGGAGGGCTGGGGCAGCTCCGCACGGCACGCACACGCTTCCCTCTTGTTCCTCGGGCTTTGCCCGAGCAGCCACTCTTCCAGCTGGGAGGGAGGCAAGATGCCCCTCAGGTCAGACGTCCCGGATTTCCCTCGATTCCTCCCTCTCCTCACTTGAGGCTGCCCCGTCTTTGTCTCGGGAGCTCTCGTACACACGCACTCACGCCCTTCGTTCAGAAGTAGACCAGAAACCAGGTGGCTCACCTGACAACTTCTTCTTTGGCCACATCTGGCAGCCCCAGATGTGGGAACACAACCCGCACAGAAGAAGCTGGCTGTGGTTTCAGGCAGATGAACCGCACCAGCGTCAGTCTGGTTGTTCCCGTTTTACTTTTGCACCTCTTTCAGATTTTTTGCATGATAGAGGCTACAATTTAAAATGTGGTTTGTAGTCTTTGGAATTTGTTTGGAGCTTGGCGTTTTCAGGCTGTTCTTGAGGCGGCCTCTTACTTTTAAAAGAAGCTGGTGCTCTGTCTCCTAAAGCACTTGTTGATGTCTAAGGAAGAGTCCTGAGGAAAAAATGCCAGTGGCAGTGCAAGCAATGGACTCTAGAACAATTTTCCTCTCCTTTTACACACAGAGATAATCAGGTATCAAGCGTGTTTGTGGCTCATACCATTATTTTAGGGCATGTGCTGGGCAACACACACCTGGATGTGTTGTTTAAACAGGTCTGCTTCAATCAAAGTAAAAGCACATCAGCAGTTGCATTTACTCACTCAGATGCTGTCCACCTAGCCCAGTATTGTGGCTGGCTGTAGCTCTGTAAGGCCTAGGAGAGTGGTCTTTCCTATCACCTGCTACCTGATCCTTTTAAATAGATTGAATTGAAATCTTAGACTTTCTGTGCACTACACAAGTGCACTATGACTAAGCTTTGATCCTTCCCACTAACCCAGTTCTCACAAACACTAGATGCAGAGTCAAACCTGTTTCTAGGTTGTATCACTTCAAACATAATAGGTGGAGTAGGGGGAACACAATTTAATACAACTGCAGCAAATCCCTGGCACACAGAAATGCAGCATGTCAAGGAAAAGGCTAAATTAAAGCCTGGGGTGTTCAGAAGGATGCTTCTAATTTTGTCTCCCCCCCCCAATATTCTATTTGTCTATGAAAATATTAAAATTTTGAAACAGGATAATTAGCAAAAGGGGGAAATCAATGCATATGACACTCTGTATTCAGTGGCTCAGCCAGGGCTGGACTTTAGAACAAATGCAGGGCCTTGCAAGCAGGAGCAAGGCCAAACCACCACCAGAGGATGGGAGTGGCAGAGATGAAGGGTGGTGGCAGCAGGAAGAAGGCACAGCATCAGATATAAGCAGTAGCATACTGAGGCTGATACCTGTGGCTACAGAGCATCCTTTCTTCCCATTGCTTTTTTTAATGTTTGCTCAAGCAGCTGCTCCCAAGGTTACAGACACACCCACTACCTTAATTTCTCCAGAGTGCGCTGGGCAAATGAAGAGAGTGGTCCAGGGCAGAGCCATGGCAGTAGACATTTGGCTGCATAGCATGCTCACCTGACTAAGGTCGCAATCCTATGCGTACTTACCTGGGAGTGAGTCCCATTGAGGATTACAGGATCCACATATGAGTGGACCTTATGGCTGCAGTGTAAAAGTTTGAAAAGGAAAAAGAAACTACTTCCTCCTGCCACCTTGGGAGAGGGTATCAAGGTAAGTGGAGTGAAGTGACCAGGACATTGAGGTATGGGCACAAGAGCAGCAGGAGCTGAAGATCAAGTGTGGTGGCATGAAGGAGTCCTGGACTCTACCTTGCCCAGGAAAAGTGACTATCCGTATCACTGGGCACTAGACAGATGAAAGCAGACACCTCTCCTGGCTCCCTGCTCCTCATGTTTATATTTGTTTCTTTAAATATTTCAATTGATTGTTTTTAAGCTGTGAGTGTGGCATGCAGCCAAGCAAAGTGCTTCCACTCCAACACCATCTTCATGTGGATTCAAAAGAATGGTTTTATGTTTTGGAATTAATATCCCACCTCTGCCTTGTATTTAAGATGTTGGGCAGGTTACTTTTCTTTTAGTTTCATCAGCTTGTCTTATGAGAAATTTGTGTTTTGTGACCATGCTTTTCTCCAGATTCTACCGGGCCATCTTGACTTGCATTTAAGTGACAAAAGTTTGTGGCTGAGCAAGATTACAGATGTGAACAAACCAAAGCTATCTGATGATTTTAGGTTTAATAGGTAAGGCCAATAGCACCTTGCCTCCAAAAAAAAAAAAGACTGGAGAGAAAATTGACCTTTGCCAATGAAAACACAGTGTAAATGTTTCATCACCTTGACAATGAATACTTAGCAGAAACTTAGAACATGGAAGGCCCTTCAGCAAAACAGATGAAAACAGGCAACACTTTGTTGAAGTAACAACCTTCTTAACAATCTTTCATGTCTGTTCCAGAAAGTTCAAGTCATTATTTCCATTACTTAAAATTTACACACACATAATTTATTATATACTATACCTAGAACTGGGAAACTCTTGCCTCCAAACCTTGTTATCGCACCCAGCACTTGGGCATGATCTTGTCTCAGTCTCTCTATCACAAATAAAAGCTGCATTTCACAAAGTATTCCACAGAGCTAACTCCAAAATTAGCATTTTCTCTCTTCATGCCTGTTGCTGATTTGGGACCCATGTGGTATAACTTGCTGAGCAAATGAAGTCTTTTGTCATTTGCTGTCTTGTGATGAGCAGTTAGAGAGAGCAAAATGAAATGTGGTAAACATGTCCAGGACAAAATTTCATGTTTCGCATCTGAATCTTAGCTTAAACTTCAAACCCTATTTCAAATCAGGAATGGAAATCAAAACTATATTGTAAAGTTTCTGGATTTAAATACTGTGTGGAGCTAAAAGAGAAAAAAACAGGTATAGGAGGACTGACAAGAAGTTGAAGGTGAAACTTCCTACTTCCAAACACCAATTCTTCCCAGAAAATATCCCCATCCTGTCATGAGCATTAGAAGGGCAACACAGAGTTTGGGAATCCATGTTTCATTCATAAGGGATATCTCCATCCTGATAGTTTACTGTTAATAAGTTCAGCAATTTAAATTTTTTGTATGTTTCAATTTTTGGAGTTTTTTTTTCCTGAAAAAGAGGGTCTAAGACATTTTTATTCATAATATTAATTATTTTCCAAATGATTATCTCCCATTTCTACCTGTCACAGAATGGATTCTGAAAGGAAAAACACATGGATAGCATTGCCAATCATTTACCGTAGCAGGGCTCTTGTGCCTTAATGGATGTATGACAGACAGCAAGGTTGTATGTATAATGTCATGGTTCTACTTCCATCGCAGGTATCCATTCACCTGTAACATAATCATCGCAAAATTCACATAGGTAAAGCAGCCTGTCAGAAAGAAGTAGGTTAGTAATCCCACTCAAAAAGACTTGAAGTAACCTACTTATGGTTGGTCATCATGCAGGGCTTAGAAGAACAAAGAATGGCAAGGTTGAAGAAATGAGAAATGATCTGTGACAGAAAGACACTGTCCCTGGATGATGCTTAGATGGGCATGATAGAGTAAGGCCTTTGTCTCTGTCTCTGTGGTGACCAAAGTAATATTTTCCTTCTGTGACTCCTCATTTTGTTCTAAGTGGCCACTCTGGTATGAGTTGCACATTTGTGTTTAGCCAGGAGTGGCAAAGGCTGAAGAGGAGTATCTAGAAACCCCGCTTAAATGTAAGAGTGTATGCTTAACTTTCGATTGCCTACATGGGAGACACTGTCCCCAGCTGTTGCAGAAAGAATAATTGTTTCACTAAATCAGTTTAGGCAAGACTAGAGATAGGAAAGTTCGGGAAACAAACAGTCCTGTTTTTTCCAAGGACTGTTTCTGGGTCTTTTTAAAAAAGAAACAAGTAATTTCAGATAATGAAACATTTTCTTTCAGAATTTAAGACAAGGTGTTTATATATTGTTACCCAGCCCTTACTTCCCCCAAAGTGATTTATAAAAATATGTAATAAGAACACTTTTACTGAAAGGCTAGCAACATAAAATGTTTTGGAATGTCTGGAAACAATTGTTACTTTAAAAATGGTTTTATCCTTTCTGTAAGATTTCCAGTATAGTAATTTCTTCCATTACTTATGAATATTGATTGAGTGTACCTTTTACTGATAGACATTTTGGAATGATCAAGGTCAGGCTTAGTTTCCCAACAATCAAGTACAGTCACCATATTATAACATGGAAGCAAATACATATGCTGCACTGTTTGGGTCTTGTTCTGGGGAGTCTTATGTTTCCAGGCTTTCTCTTTTTAGACATTGTAGCAGTCAATTAAGATTGTTCCAATCTAAAACTTACATGTGAAAAAAACAAAACAAAACACTGTAGATTATCCCACCAGTGTCACTATATGCAATGGAACAGCATGTGGATTACCTTACCTATTGTCTTTCGTTTTTAATATAATTAAATTTGAAACTTGGTCTATGCAACTCATTGCCACAGTTTTTTAAATAAAGTTCTCAATTAGACTTTACCACTTGAGAATGTTTCAGCTATAAAATTTTAACTGCTACCACTAGAATAAAAACTCTCTACCTAAAAGAAACTCAACAGTCTGGGTCCTAAGGCATAGCATGGGACTGACACTACCTCCAGAGGCCACTTTTCAAAATGTACAAAATGCAGTGTTCCTCAATGGAAATTATTTGCAAAGGTGAATAAAATGTCACTCCAAATAATAGGTTCAGATTGCGTAAGAGTTCCACGTGTAAGTGTTCCCGGGAGGAAAGTGTTAGCAAAGCGTTCTTCCTATAGGCGTTCTGGGATGATCCACATTCTTCCCTTGTTGTGTATCTCACCCTTTCTCCATGGCTCCCATCCCCAACATCCCCCTCTGTGCACTCTAACTGGGCATGACACAAGGCCAGAGAAATTAAGTCCGATGCTGCACACTCTATCATTTGAGTTATGGACTCATTGTCAGGAGTTTTGATATTGCTGTTGCTGCACTGTAATTGGGTGTGGTTAATGGCAGCACAGTGGATTGGCAGATAAAGTGGAGTAGTTCTTTGCCCTCCACTGTGTTCCATGGACAGCTTTTTACTTCCCCTTTCTCCCAAGTCGTCCTAAGCCTCTATCAGTGCTAGAGATGGGACCAGGATCTGAGGTTTTGGGAAATATAATCCTCTCCTTTTCACACACACTTTCTGTCTAAATTTGACCACTCAGTGAGTCATTCATGGAGTTGTGCCAACATACCCAGAAGTCAATGTATACCCACTGGTGGAGGCATATCTAGAGATACACTGGCATAGAATAATTGCTAATGGGCCGGCTACCTAGCTGGCATATCTGTGGTACAGAACTGTGCCTTGAACTGATTTTTAAAATCAGCTAAAACCAGTTTCATAAAACCTAGGTAATTATCTCAATGAATGTGTGGAAATATTCACCACCAGTACAAAAAGGTCAATCTAAACATTCTTCTAATAACACATAGAACTACAGGATTGGCTTATTTATTTCACAGTGGGGACGTTAACAATTAAGAAATTAAAATTGTGAAATTTTACATAGCTCAGTCATCAACTCAAATGGAGACTGTACCCCAAAAATTTGAAGAACATTTGAAGAAAACTGAGAAAAGAAGGAAAGGAGCAGCAATGAAAAGTAAAACAGTTTCACTGGACTCCAAGATTAAGATTGTCCACACTATTGTATTCTCAACCACCATGTAAGGGTTTTAAAACCAGACAGTGAAGAATGCTGACAGAAAGAAAACTGATGTTCAAATGATGGTGCTGGAGGAGAGCTTTGCAAATCCCCTGGACTGACAGAAAGGCAAATGGGTCCTAGATCAAATCATACAGAACTTGCCTTAGAAGCAAAAAAGACAAAACTAAGGCTTTGGGAACATCATGAGAAGGGAAGACTCCCTGGACAAGACAATCATGCTTGGGAAAGTAGAAGGAAGGAGTAGAAAAGGAAAACCAAGTATGAGATAGACTAACTCTATAATAGATTGACTCTATAACAGAAGCCACTGCCTTGAATTTGCAAGAGCTGAACGAGGCTGTCATGGATAGGACATTTTGGAGAGCTCTCGTGCATAGGGTCGCCATGAGTTGGTGGTGACTTGATGGCACATAACAACAATCACAGGTACTGAGTTGGATTGAGACAATGATGCTCCAGGAAGGGGTGGTGTCATGCTCTCCCCATGTATTTTTATCCACATTTTAAAATTTTATTTTCTGCAGGGTTTAAAAAGAAGAAAATACCACCACTGTACCTTTTTTTAACAAAAAAATTGGGCAGGGCGGGCAGGTTTCAGGATGAAAGGAGGTCAGAAAGGCCTGATCCCTCCAGAGCACCACAGTCCTGATTGGAATCAGAGACACACGTAAAGAAATTACCTATGCATAGCTGCTGTGTGAGTAAAATAATGTTTCGATTGGCTAGCTGGACAAAGATAGGATTACTACTGAATCTAGTTATGCTGGCGAAAAAATGTTGCATTGCACTAGAAGATTTAAGTCAGTATAACAACAGTGCCAGCAGTGATACTGGCAGTATGTGAGCTAGTCAGTAGCACACCACCAGTGCCAGGAGCAGAATGCCTGAGAAATGTGCTTTATCCAGAAACCTGCACTCATTTGAAAGTCAGTTATGATGCACCTAACACTGACATAACAATCCAGGGGTCCTCAAACTTTTTGAACAGGGGGCCAGTTGAAAGGTGCCAGCAATGGGCTCAGGCTGCCAAGGCGGTGCATGCGGGGGGGTGGGGTGTGCAGAGATCCTTTTCTCCGAGCGAGTCCAAAATGATCTCCCTGCTCACAAGCTGGCGCCTTGCCATGCGTGCGCATGCAGCAAGTCCAAAACCTCTATGGTGGGCCGGATAAATGGGCATGGCGGGCCAGATCCGGCCTGCAGGCCATAGTTTGAGGACCCATATAACAAACTGTCCTCAAATAGCTGGCGTAAGATGACTGCTCTCCACTTGCCCGCTCACTCATGTTTTGGAGAATAAGGTTCTGACCAGTTCAGAACTTAGCTGAGAATAAGTCCCAATTCATATATTAGGACATACGATATAAGGAGTGTGTCCAAGTCTGTAAAACTACAAGCATGATACAAGAGGGATGCTAGGTGAAAGTCAGTTCACACAAAAGAAGTATGTTGCACAAACATCAGCCAAGTCCCCTCCATATATATATGCAGAGAAAGGAAAGGTAGATGATTTTCAGTTGCAGTTATTCTATTGCAAGAGGCCGTACAGAAATATCCACCAGGATTCTGTATTCCATGCTTGTAACTGAGTCAAGGCACACCACACAGGGGAGGAGACACTAAAGAGGAGAAGCCCATATCTCAGTTTAACTCCTGACTTCTGGACATCTCAAGGTCTGTAAATCCTCCCCATACCATGATTTCCTCCTGCTCCTCCTCAACTGTGTTCCAGCTTGACTACTCTTTCTTACTCTAGACTGGCGCAGTGTTCTTTGCAAGAGTAAGGACACCTTTTGCATTAAATGGGACCCTGTCAGTCCTCGTACCCAGGTGACTTCTCAACATGGCCTGGGAGAAACAGTGGCTTGATGTTCAGGCTTCTTGTACCTTGTACTGAGAAATTAGGTGCCAGTTCTTGAGCTGGAGACTCTAGCAATGGAGCCCTACTTCCTTACCTCGTACAAGTATAAGAAAAGGCCATACTAACCTCAATAGAGTACCATTGCAGCAGCTGGCTGGAATGTTTACTGCTGCTTTCAGCCCAGCGGGGCTCAAGGAAGATGTGTAGTAGCCAAAGCACATAAAACACAAAGACAGACACACTAGTTCAGGATTTTCTAGGCTTTGTATTCTGCAATTTTATTCCTTCAAAACACAAGATGATACTACAGAATTTGGCTTCAGTTTTGCTTTGTTTTTACCTAGCACACAACCTAAAACTAATCTCTTGCTATGCTACTACACAGACTACTATGTTTCTCTTTACCCCCATTCTTTGCCTACCCAGGAACTGTATATTTGGCCCAGGGCCATTATCTTTTTAGAAATAGGGCTCAGACATTCCTTCTATGTCCCAATACTCAATGGATTGCTGGCCAAAGCCATTTCCCTGCCTGAGGCAGAGCAGTAAATGGTTCCCCCATTGCCAACACGCAAGCCAAGGTGAATAGTATGCAAACCCAAACAAATTATTTTGGCATGTAAGGTGGAAAAGCCCTGACAGAAAAAATACAGAGAACTAGCAATTTGCTGCCCTTTCATGAAACCCACAGCAGCTCACTCTACCTACTGGTAGGGCTGGTGTTACCTGCGTATAGTCTGATATCAGTGAGTAACAAT